TAAAGATAAACATTAGCAGTTTTGTACATTAGACATCTTTTAAAGAAAAATCTTTTTAATATTCTTTTAAATCTTCTTAATAATCTTTTTAACATAAGACAATACAAATTTAAGTGCTTTCTGTTAAATACACAGAGTAGTTAGTGTCGATTTACAGTATATTCAGCCTATTCATTTACTATGCTGAAAATTTAGTTTATCCAAATACTTGTGAATTTCATTTTGCTGAATACTATATACATAGTTTTGTTGAATATCTAAATATTCAGCTGTTGAATAATTACTTCTTGCTTTCAAGATATGCATTATTTGTATTCTTAATACAAGTGGGGGAAAAAATTAAGAGGTAAAAATTGTTTTAAAATGATAAGTGTAATAATTATAAATAAATATAATAAACAATATGAATTATATTTATCATTATTCACAAATATAACTACTTTTAAATTCAAATTAACATACTGGATAATAAAGATATTCGGTATAACATTAAAAAATTTTTTTTATACACTTGTATCAAGTTTGTATTTATACAACATAACTTGTAAGTTCCTTATAAATATTAGTTATATGTTCCTTATATGTCAAAAATGCATAGTAATAAACTTTTAATTTTCTTAAGTATCAAAAAAAAAAAAATTTTTTTTTTAAATATAAATATTTAAACAATTTTTGTGCAAAATTTTTCTGCACATGCATTTGAATATAAATTTCTGAGATTTTAAATCTGTTATTTTACCTTAATTTTAATTAAAAAATATTTTAAAACCTGCTGATTACCTATAGTATAATTAAATTTCAATATAATGCATGGCAACTGTTGGTAGTTTTGAAGTTTATATATTTTCTTGGCAAACTTCAGTTTTTGACACTTTTGACGGGTTTTTGACACTTTTGACAGGTTTTTGACGGTTTAAACCAGTATTATACCCTTGTCATGTCAAAAACCACTTTTTGACGTCAAAAACCCAGCCCTGGAAAGAAAGAAATGTGTTTTATACTCTTCCAGCAAACTTCAAAAAAATTGAGAGAAATTATTTTTGTTATTAATTCATTCAGTTAGTTATTTCACTTTGCTAAATTTTACATAACATTTACAGACTAAAAATATAGCTAAACAAAACAGTGCACAAAATATCAAAAGGACCGGAAAAGAATTTCATTTTTGTTACACTAAACTCAAAAAGAGTTAACAGGTTTTAATTATTAATTCTGTGTTATCCACTTCATCAGGAATCATTGGTCATCCAGCGCAGAAAATTTAAATGCTGGATTAATGTAAACCTAATATCTTTGGAGCAAAAAATAAGGTATTTCAAACATTCATATTTTCAAATTTTGTATTACACAGAAAATGTTATAGTGATCAGAATCTATGGAAACCTGATAGTGCAGTGTAGGCAAAAAATGGTGGGGGATTGGAGAACTCCCGCCCCAATTCATATGTTTTTCCCTGGGGATCTTGACCAGTGCACTCTTGAATTATCAAGCAAAGTTTAATAAATAAAGGCAGGAGCATCAGATTGCCATATTTTCTGATCAATATAACATTTACAAAATGCCTACTCTTAATATTTGCTCAAAGTTACAACAGAAGTTTAACAATTCTGCATTTAAATTTTCCTGGTTTGATAACAAAAGGTTTCAGACAATGTGAATGTTTACAACATTGATTAAAACAAAAAAAAACTTGTCTAAAGTCTGCTTTAACGAATTTATTGTATAAAATTAAAGAATAATTAACTATAATTTTAATTTAAATTGGAAATATTATGAATCACCAAAAATAAAATAAACACAATAAAATGGAAAATTTAAAGAAAAAAATCAATACTAATCCAACAAATTCACATTATTTTATACTAACTAAAAGGAAAACAGGTGTTTCTTTATTTTTCTTCTTTTTTTAAAGCTAAAATTGAAAAATTTTAAAGAAATCATGAACAGATAAAATAAAATAGTACAAACTTATCATAAAACATCTGGAAAATAAGTACATTTTTACTGTCATTTTTCACAAGCAAGCAAGAAAATAAGGTTTTAGAAAGGCAAAAAATAAGATGGTAAAAAGTTTATCTTTAAATCCAGCTTTGCCAGAATTCAACGCCCCCTTTACTAGGCGCTCTACGCAGCCGTTTACCAGGCTTACACCTCGGACCAGCCCTGTTTGCTTATAGTAAAATTGTTTAAAGATGACACCATAAAATTAACTACCCGGTAAAATTAATTATTGTTCAATTGATCTCTGATATCGCATTTTTTTTCTTAAGTTGTGAAGAACAGCTCTTATAATATAATACTTTGCTACTATTATAAATATGATAATAGTAACAAATGTAAAGAATAGTTCTGATGCTCCTGAAATGTGTGAAATATTAAAACTACCTCCATCTTTACCCTCCCCCCTCCCAAAAAAAATTTTTTTATGCACAAATTTTTTTTGGTTTAGGTTGCATTAAATATTACTCACTAATGACAACTAGTTACATAAAAGGGATAATTTTTTTTATTTATTTAGATTTCAAGGACTTTTCAATGAAATTTCATAATTTACAAGACCTCAAGGTCAAAAAATCAAAAATGCAAAAAATCAAATATGCAATTTTTCAAAAGGTTTTCTGAAAAATTATTAAAATCCTCAAACATTTCCCCTCCCCCCCTTTTTTTAAATGGCTAATTTTCTGCCAGGGTTAGCAGATTCAAATCAGCTTAATTAAAACCATTATTTAAATGAAATGTTTTTTTTTTAAAATCTTTGATTGAATTAAATAAAATGTTATTTCTATAAAAAAATCATTAATTTAAAAAGTTTCAGAGAAGAAATATTTTAAATTTTTTAATGATTTTCAAATTATATCTTTTTTCAATTAATTTGAATCATGCATTTACATGCATTATGCACTATAAAACAATTTTTCATACAGTAATATTGTTTGAAATTTACTTTTAGGATTTATTTTTGATATTTCAATTATAATTACATTTATAAAATTTAACTAATATTAAACTAAATTTTTAAAATATCATTAAAAAAATAAAACAAATTAGAAACTCTTATGCTTTCTGGTTAAAATGTAACTATTTAAAAGAAATTCAATGATTTCTATAAATATAATTACTTTAATTGTAAACACAAATTCTTTTGTTATTGTTTATAGTTATGATATCCAATATATTTTTAACTAAAGGAATGAGCAAAATTGGATGACTTGCAATATTGCAATTATTTGCTATTAAGGTGTTTAACTTTCTAATATATTTTATTTTTTATAGTACTTTTAATAAACTTTTACAGTGTAACAGTTTTTTTGAAAAACGTAATAGATACAGATAAAATTAATAGACAAGATATAAAAATTTGAACACTGCTTTTAGCTTAACTTTATAGCATAGTAATTTTATAGAACTTTACATAATATATATAACATCGCAAAAACTTAGACCAGTTCAATAATGTTTCTAGAAAACCATTCTCCAATAAAGTAAAAAGTTTTCAAAAGGCACTTATAAAAATCTAATATTTTATCAAAAAATTTAGGACTCCTAACTACGCTACGCATAACTTTCAACTAACAATACAAAAACTCCATGTATAGCATCATAACTTTATAGAAGTTGCAATATTATGTCATCAAGAATTTGTACAATGAGCTAAAGTAATACTGTTTTCAGAAAATACCTTTCTTTGATATTATATATATATATATGCCTAACAGCTTATCAAACAAATTTGCATTTCTTAATTATCTCATAGATTATTTTCAGCTAAAAATTTCTTATTCTTTAGCATCATAACTTAGTCTCTTGTCTAAATATAACATAATAAAAATTTGTAAAACAAATGAGCTCGTTCAATTTTGCTTCTATTTCAATAAAAATGTTGCTCCTAATGGCCCAATGTCCAACACTATCAAATTAGTGGCTCTTAACTATGTCATACATTGCTTTCAGCTTAACTATAACAAAGGCCTTTATCATAGCATCACAATTGTATCAAATTTTAGTTTAAATACATCAGAAAATTTTTTAAAAGAAATATACCAGATTAATACTACATCTAGAATCACCTCTCTACAATGAAAATGTTGCTCCTAATGTAACAAAATATATCCAACATTTTATCAAATTAGTGACTCCTGAATATGTCATACACTGCTTTCAGCTTAGTTTTAATTAAAAAATATCTTTCAGAGCTTCATAATTTTAACTAACTTTTATCTAGTTTAAATCCATGATAATTTGCAAACAAATAGGCCAGTTTAATATTGCTTCTAGAAACACCTTTCTTAAATAAAAATGTTGCTCCTAATGGTATGAAATATACCCAACATTTTATCAAATTAGTGACTCCTAAATAAGAAATACATAGCTTTCAGCTTAGCTTTAATTTAAAAATATCTTTCATAGCATCATAATTTTATCAAACTTTAGTTTAGATATAATATAAAAATTTGTAAAGCAAACAGGCCTGTCCAATTCTGTTTTTAGAAACACATTTCTCCAATTAAAATGACAATAAAATATGTCTAACATTTTATCAAACAAATTTCTGACTCTCATACACAGTAGAACTTCAATTACCCGACACTTAAAGAGCTACAGGTACATCCGAAAATCATAATTGTCTTGTAAATGGGAGAACTTTTCAATTTAGTACATAATTTTTGTTTTCTGTTAATCATTTTCTCGTAACCAGAATTAAGATTCTTCTACAGAACAGTAATAGAATTAAATTTGGAGCTTAACGGCATGAAGCTCATAAAATAAACTGTAGTACAATAACATCAGCTGCAATAATGAAAAAATATCTGTCAAGACACTTTTAAATGGTGTCAGATATCTGAAGTGTCGTATGGTCTGGTGTTGAATAATTAGAGTTCTACTATATATGTTATACTAAATATTATTATTGTATCAGTAGATTTTGATATAAAGGACATCTTATATTTCTAATCATAAATAGATTAAAAGAAATATAACTAAATAATAGTTCATTTTACCTTCACTTTTAGTTAAAATTATCTTCGTCTATAGCACTATAACTTTAAAAGTTCTGATCTGAAATAAATGAAAATCAATTAGAAAAATAAGTAAAAAACAAAGTAGCATTGACACAACAAAATTTAAGAAGCCTTACATATTGCAAATATTTTTAATGCATTCTGAAAGAGCAGCAATAGCAACACTTTCAATGTCTTCATCTTCTATCATCCTAAACATGATTTCTTACTATTACAGAATTTCGATAGCACCAGTAAAAAATTATTTTCAATTTGATAGTAAAAGTTATTTTTAATAATATTTTTTTAAAAAAAATATCTCTTAAAAAGGTTTTTAAAAAAAATGAAATATGAACACCACAAAATATAAATATTTTTAATGTATATATAAAAGACACAGATAATCAATCGATAGTGAAATTAAATGTTCGAAAAGCCTGATTTTTTTGTAATATTCTAATTTATTTTATAATATTCTTCTTCAGATCACTACAACAGAAACATATTTCTTGCAAAAAGTGTAAAACTTGATATATACCTAAATAGATTCAAAGAGACAGTAGATATTCTCTCCATTATAGCCAAAAAATTTACTAAATGGTAGATTTATAACTTATAACCAACAAAGATCTTGATCTCAACAAAAAAGTTGCTTAGAAATTGAAATAAAACTTAAAACAGTTGTCTCTTTTATTTCCATATTAACTTTTGATGGTACATGTAGTACACAATAATAGCATATTATTTTGAAATTAGTTTGCCATTTAAGAATTTTGTTTTATTTCATATGAATTGTCTTTAATAAGCAAAAGTAACCTTTCATAGAATTTTTAATGCAAATCAAAAGATAATACTTAATTCTTGTGTTTAAAGAAATAGAATATAAATTAGGTAGGTAACCATCAAAATAAAATAGTATAGGGTCTTTTCTACAAAATGTTATATGATCACAGAAATAATTTTAAAAAATATATATTTAATCTGAAATATATGAAAAAATTAAATCTTAATTTAAAATAGAGTAATCCAGCAACAAAATGGAAACCTACTTGTTAAATTAAGTAAGAATAACGAAAAAAATCTATTATTTCAGACAATTATTACTATGCATATTATATTCAACATTTCAAATTTATCCTTAGTCACATTTTCAAGTATAAAAATAGTTCTAATTTAATGCATTTCAAGGACAAAAATATATCAAAATTATAAATTTACAAAGGGACAACTTTATGAACAAATGAAATTTATTGATAATAAATTAAATTAAATATGTAAAATTGAAAACAATAGATCAATAATGAAAGAAGATACCCAGTGGATCTAGATATAAATTAACTAATAACAGCTAATAATTTTGAATTGATAAACTAAGAATTGATTGAACTAATAAATATTGAATTGTTGAAATAGATTAATTGAATCTTCATTAAAACAGAGAGAAATAAAAGAAATTTCTTACTGAACAAAATATGAACTTTTTGTATACAGTCAAATATTATCCCCTGAAACTAACTTTCTTTTTTGTTTCATAAGTAGCATTATCAATATTTTTATTACAAAAGAAATTAAAAAGACATTTGGTTTTGCAATATTTTTACCCAAATTGTAATAAACAGAATAGCAAATGTAATGATTGTTTATTTACTAATGTGAGCAAAAGAAATTTAGAGAATTGCAAAAAGAAAACCAACAGTGATTATCAAGCATATTCAAGACTGAAATACTGTTACCTAATTATTGTAACATTTAAAAAAAAATTTCTCCAACTTTTTTTAACTAATATAATAAGATTATTGGTGTATTTGTATTTATGCAGTCTCATCATATGATGTAATTTGCGCTACAAACACTTGATATAAAGAATTTATAACTAAAAGCTAGAATATAAAGATGATACATCATAAAAAGTATGTCTCTTTTAGTCACAAGAGTGAATAATATTTAGCTACTTTTTATTAAAATTTAAAAATTCCGACCTTTAAGGCTGCAAAATTTCATAACCTGAGGAAGCATATTGTGAGCTACGTATAAACAATTAAAATTGTAAAAATTATAGTTCTCTATCACAAAATGTTGAAAAACACTGCAAGATCAACAATTTTATTTGTTTTCATATTGCTAATTACAGGTGATTTAAGAGCAGATTGATTTTATTTCACAATTTCCTTGTGGCAACAAAAATTAATTAGTTAAGTATTTCATCGAACAATATAACTATTTCATACGATCTGTCTGGCTGGAATTTTTTTTAAAAAGCACACATACTCATTAAAATTATTTACGGATGATTTATGTATCATTTTATTTCAATTTTTTTCATTATCTTCAATCCATATCGCTGGTTATCCATAGAACGATCTTCTTAATATATGTTAAAATTGTAGCTAAAACTCATAGTGAGATGGAGAGGTTTACACTCACCAGAAAATATTGTTTACATTAATAGTTTAGTGTGAAAAACTTAAAAAAAAAACTTTAAAGGAGCCATAAGCAATGGCACCCGGATGTTGTTTAAAAGCCTGCCATTCAAAACTTCCTTTTAAAGAAACTACCTTATATATATATATATTGAGTTATATTCTTACAAATATCATCTAAACATTGTGTTTCAGAAAAAATAATTTTTTTTTTTACTCAGAATTTGAATGCCTCAAATAATTAATCAATATTTACATAGCCCCGAAATAATTAATGTTTACACGTTAAATTTGCACTGCAACATTGCAAAGTTAAAATTTGTAATTGGATTGGGCTTACGTAACATGACGTCACATGATGAGTCCTTATTATTGGTTGAATCCTTAACTTTTGGAATTCTTCGATGTATCATGTAAAGATGCCTGAAGAGAAAAATTTATTGCTGAACAATAGCTTCTTAACGAGGAAGGATCTTATCCAACGAAAACAGAAGTTTTAGCCAGTAAGATTTATCTCTTACTTAGTTTTATTTCCAAATTCTAAAAATATAAGCACCAGTTTTGTGAGTATTTTAAATTCAATGAATTCTGTCAGAATCATGAGATTCGCCTGTAATTTTCAAGATTTCGAATGAAATTAACGAACTCGTCGCACCAGTTGAAAAATTTGAGATATCGTACGCAAAGCTATGCACTTAATTTTCAGAAAACTTAAACATTTTCCTTCTATTGTAATGGAAAAAATAACACAATTTTGACGAAGAAATTCACCAGAAATTGTAATTATTATTATTTATAATGTTGTTATTGTAAAAACAACCTCTGAGTAAAAATTTTATTATTTTTTCCTAGAAATTTCCCTGCGGCTAAGCCGCACTCCCAGAATGAAACATAACAACAAAAATCAAAGCATAACATCAGAGCTGCTAGGAGAGCTCGCTAAAAATCAATTCTTTATTTTTGTTATTGCCGGCAAATACTGCGTATGAGGTATATTATTAGTTGCATAATTCTTAGAAAACTTATTTTGTCTCACACTTTTGTTTATAAAAAGAGAATAATAATTATACATTCAAATTAAAAGCTGCAATGATGACATACCTTAGTTTATTAAGTTGATTTATTACCAAATACGTGAATTTTTCTAGAGACAGATGCTTTGCACTTTCTTCTAAGTTTAATAATATTTGTAACAACATATTTTAAGTTTTCTTTGTTTGACATTAACCATGCATTAATTCAAACATTAACGTCTTATTTTCCAATAAGCCCAAAAACTTATCTGGTGTCCCTGAATGTAATTTGTTACTTAGTTAAAATTTAGAGAGATAAAAATGCTTAGCTGTTCCAAAAACGTATTCGATTGTAAAGATTTCTACAACCCCAAATGAACAACTTCATGCTTTTTTTTTGTGCAATGATATTATGATGAATAAAATATTGCATGTAATTGTACAACACACGTTTTTTTCCTTCCTAGTTGCTTTTTATTATTTATCTATTCTTAACCAAACAAAAATGTAATTTGTTGTATTTTTTGAAATAAAACTGATAGTGAAATTTATTTTATAAGTTTTATTATCTTTTGGTTTAAAAAGGAGCATATTTTGTTGCAAAAAACTTGATTACTGTTACCCAAATTTGAATTTTTCAATTTTATGAGATAACAATTTCAATTTACTTAGTAGAGTATTTAGTACATTTAAAGACTATAATATTGCCATACTTAATCAGTGCTTTGCAAATGCAGTTTCTTATTAAGAATGTCATCCATGATAGTATGCCAGTGTTATAAAACCTAAGAATTATGTTTTGTTAGGATCATTAATTCCTAACTTTTTAACTCAATGTCCTTGTAATCCTCTGCACATAATGAATTAAGGAAATTTAGCTTGAGTTTCTATGTACCTAGTAGTTAATATTTATATGCATTTAAAATAAATGACTCTTTCAAAAAATTCCAAGGTCACACACTCAGATTTTAAAAACCATCAAGTAATTTCCAAACTAAAAATAAAAAGCCATCATGTTTGAAGAGTTGATTAAACCTAATTATTTAATTATATTTACTTACAAGTTCATTGTATTATTGTTGACAATGATGGTGTGAGGCTGCTTTACACAGAAATCACTAGATTTTTATTCCCTCATTTATTTTATTTAATCAAATATTTCAACTCAAAGCAAGTTGAAACAAGTCATATGAGAAATGGCACTGAAATAAACTTTTTAAAATGAGTTAGAAAATGTATTTGACCAAAATGAAGATAAATAGTCTATCTCTTTGACGAGTTTAAAAACAAAACCATCTCTAACTTTGTATACTAGTTTATTGTTTTGGTTGGAGAGTTTGACTATACACAGAAATCAGTTTGCTGTTGATTATTATTATTATTATTTTTTTGCTCTGCTTTTTAAATGTTGCAGTTATTTTTATTTCATATATATTGCTAAGATTTTATGTTTAATTAATAGTTAAAAAAATATGTGTAGAAATATATTTGATTAAATTTAGGGTTGTCAGAAGCAAAAAAAAAGACATGCGGGTCAAAGATGGAAACGATGTTAATTATTTTTATCTTCAGTACTATAATTTAGAGGGCAAAGTTCAGTAACGCAAATGTTCCTGTTCTCACTGGCTCTAAAATTAAGAAGGAAGTGGTAAAAGTTGTAGAACATACTGTGACGTAAAATAAAATCACTTTTGAAGAAATTTAATGTTAAGCTGAAAAATTATACCTTGTTCATATGTTGTTAAACTTCATTTCATATAAATATTTGTTTTTATTTATTGAAAATAAACAACCATTTTCGCCACAAAGTTTATAACAATGAAAAAATTTTGCATACTTTAATTAGTTGATCAGTTATATTTTATTTGTATTTATCCGTTAGCTAGGTATCTGACAAAGCTATAAATTTGCACCATGCCTCCCTAGCAATGTATCAGGCCTCAATGTTTTTTAAGTATTTTTCAAGAGCTTTTCATTTTCCCATTATTTTGATAATGAGTGAGAATTACTGTGTAAAATATGCACATAGAGGGTAATTTAAAAATTGAAGATCAAATTTAGTTATTATTTAATAATGCACATTTTAATAAATTTTAATGGCGGCAAGTGAGTGCCCTTTTCTGCAAGAAAGCACCATGCCCTTTTTTTATTCCTAGGGAGGACTCTCGATTAACACAATTATAAAATGTGCTTACATAAATTTATTGTAGTTATATATTTTATAGACAAAATTATCTTTTTTATCACCTTTTAAGATTAAGAAAAATTGTAAAGTAGCAACCGTGGGGGTTGGTGAAAGGAGCCTTGTAGGGATTTTTAATCTTCGACTAGTTTCTTTAAAAAAAAAAATTTTTTTTTGCTTATAGATGAAATTCTTCAACATTTATTTCAGACCTAAAACTTTAGAAATTTAAACTGATGCTATAAAAGTTATATATTTTCTGAAATTTAAAATTACCAAAAAATATGTAATTTTATTTCTATCAAAATAACGTGCTTTTGTATTCTTTACTTTTAAGATTCAACATATTTGATTGGTTTTCAATAGAATCAACATCACGGAGAAACCCAGCTCTTCCTCCTCATCCCTCTCACAAGATTTACAAAATTTAGTGAGTCGTCTTTTTCTAATTTCTACAAAAATTATAAAATTCGTATGTACTGTCCCACTTATCTCGTTTTTTTAATTTTAAAGAAAAATGTAATTTTATTTTAAAGGATGTGTTTATACACCTTTTTTGTAAGTTTGGGTTGACTATTATCTACTACTGCCCCCTGTCATACTTTGAATACAGTCCCAATATCCTGAAAAAATCCAATTTACTTACACATTTGCTATGCTAAAAAAAATTCCTTTTGCTGAATACATTGCTCGGTGACCCTTGATTTAATAAAATATTTTTGATTTTGTTTTCTTCATAATTTCTAAAGAATACTTTCTTCAACTTAAAACCTTTTAAGACTTTTTGAACCATAATCTTAGAACTTAATTTTATGAACCGTTTCTGCAAGTTTTAATAAGTAAAAGATTTCCTGGAAGAGTAAAAAATTGACTGAATGATTCATTCCTAAAAAAGATACGCGCATAAAGAGGAGATTAGCCATCCGTCAGACTTAGATAAAGTGAAAAACTTTCTGCACACATCGATTAACTCTTGTAATAAGTTTCAATACTTTTGTTGCTGCCTCATTTTGACCAAATTCATTTTGAAAATCAGGGATTTTTTTAATAATGTTTAATTTTTATAAAACTATGATTTATACCACAGAGATGAGTTTGGTAAAAAAAAACCATGAAAGCTGAGAATAGAAATCCAAAAATGTCATATGCAAAAATACTATTTAATAAAAACCTGAAATTTGAGTAAGAAAAAAGTGCATGAAGGAAGCATTTATCAACAGAACATTATCAATGTTTCAATAAAAATATTGATGCGCATATTCGCCTAAATTATTCATATCTGCCACCCGTAAGCTTCGAAAGAGCTTTCTAATTTAATGAATTCAAAAGAAAAACTAGTTACCAAAACAATCAAACAGTGTGTTGTGATTGGAAAGAATCAGAAATATTAAAGATTTTAGCACCTGAAGAAATATTGAATGAAGATAATAATAAAAGAGAAGAAATACACAAAAATGTAAAATCAAATGACAAAGCAGAGATATTAACATTGTTCAAAGTAATTTTTTAAGTTAATATGTGTTATATAGCATTTACAGTGCTAAAATTAATGTTGGTTCGAAACAATGAAAATTTTACTCACACCACCATTAAAATAATTATCACTGGTGTCCCAGAACAGCAATTCATGTTAAATGGTGGTATATTGTTTTGATTTCGGATCTTATGATTTAGTCTGTATTTTTTTCACCAAAAAGCTTATTTCAGCATAATTGGGTACTTGCATTTCAAGAAGACACATGTGACCTATGACGTCTCCTCCAGCTGATCGTTTATAAGCAATACGGTGTGTTAAAGTTGTGCTAAGTTTCTCCATATAAGTTAGAATGTTAATTACCGTTAATCTAATATATATAATTCTCTTACGTGGCTCCCAAATTTTGGCTGTATTTCTTTTCCGACGGTGGCAACAGTTTTCATTTTTAATGAAGTACTTTGTACAACTAAATAAGATTCTTTTCACAACACTTAAATATTTACTTTGTTTTCTTCTTTTATAGAGAGAACAGTCGGCAGAGAATTCTGTTAGGTTAAAAAGCATTTTGCTAAAAAAAGAACAAATTCTAAAAGAATTAAAAATGAACAACTTAAAAAATAAAAATGCTGTTGCCAGCCATAGAATTTTTTGAAAGTTAACTTAGCAACATAATTCAAAATGACATAGAAGCGCAACTAGATCAAAATTAAGATACCTGAGTGCTTGAAGTAACAAATCCTTCAATTCTATAAGTGTCATATCGCCAAATGCCCAAATTAACAATTGTGTTTTTAAAGGAATTCTCTCTCTCTTTATATATATATTTGCATTTTACAACTTATTCATATTAAACTTCTGTTGTGTGTCTGAATACTGACATTTAGAACAAAATTAAGGTTTAGAATTGCCTCGGAGAAATTTGAATTGTTAACAATGACTTAAACAAAAAGTTTTATTTTAACTGATAAATACTATATTATAATTTTAACTTTTTCTATGACTATACTCATTTTCTTACTCTTTGTTTTTTATACATTTTATATTTTTGTGATAAAATAAAGAACTTATAGTTGTTCTGCTTCTGAACACTGATGAAAACGCAAAATGATGGGCTTCATCAACAATCAAAAATATATACATTTATTTTACAAATTCCATATTAGGGTGGCGCCATTCAGAGAATTAAAAATACAAAATTATCTTTAGCGAAGCCGATGC